TGCCCTTAATTTTTTATGAGATTTGATCGTTTTTTCTATTTCTTTTTCATTTTTGTGTTTATTAGACTTGAATAATTAGAATGACTCGTCCCATGTAAGCGACGATCACGACTGCATTAAAATTGAAGAGAGCGGTCAGCCAGTTCAAATAATTAAAGGACTCCCTACCTCACAAATTGCGCGCTCCAATCGCCATCGCAGCGGCGGGAGCGGAGTGCGCGACGCCGTCTTCAGGGAGAAGTTCCCGGACCCGGGAAAGCGTGCCTGTCTACGGTAAGAGTGGATTCAACTCAGTTCCGATGTGATGCTCCTTTCTTACTGTAGGTACTGGCACGAATAAATTTTCCCCAAGGAAGTACATAGCTGTATTGTTCCCCAACAATCACGTCTTGTGCAGATAGTTGTGGCTTCTATTGTCAGTGACAATCCTCAGATAGCCAGAGCTAGTTTCAAACGGAGAAATAGGTCTTTAGTACCCGATTACTCGCCCGAAAGCGATTTTTGTCTGAAGTATAATGTTTTCAAAGGTTAATCCGTGTATAAAAAAAATTCAGATTGTTGTCGATCATCGGGTATCGCTGGTAGCCGTCTCATATAAATGCGAATGTCCGAAAGGATGGATATGCCCGACGGATATCGATGAAACTCCAGCAAATACTGAGTACGTGAAACTATTTCGAATTTTTATTTTTTCATATCTGAAAAGTACCTGAAACATTTGTATCGGTAAGGAAATATGAGCCCTCGAAAAGTCTTTCAAAGCCCGAGAAAAAATGCTGTCAGTTCGCTAGCTTTTTCAGGTTGCAACTGATTTTTTTCTCAAGATCCCACATGTTTTAGTTCCAATGTTGGCATTCTGGTGCATATTCCTGTAAGGATCCAGGCAACTTCAGCACCCCACGGGAACGTCATAGTGTGACTTTGAGGGAGGATTCCGTTTTCTGGAGTGTCTATTACAGTTGATTTAGTGCCAATCATTTTGAGTAGGTATAACATGTGTGGGCCAGGGAGTTCAGGTCAAACCTGGCTTTTTTGCGATTTCTAACAGACGAGGTATGACGATCACATTGAATTTGTGAGGACCGACAGTACAGCAAGGTTGCACCTACACTAGATCATCACAGTTCACCCTTAATCACCACTTCATCCCCTTCCTCTTTGCCAAAAGACGCTGTGTTAGCGAAAGTGTGGGAAATGGGCCCACACTTGCAATTTGCACGAAAGATCGTCATTTTTACCTCGTAGTTGATATGGGTAGAAGAGCAGACGGGCAGTCGGTTCGATTTTATGTAATCTTTTCGCCGCACGCGGCTGTCGCGGACTAATTGCCCGTGACTGAAATTCCAACGTCTCACGGATCGATCGATATGCGATTGTTATTTTTGGCATGATTCCTTCGTGCGCGACGTCGCTCTCACTGCGTAGCGATCACTTCTATAAAAGTGCGCCATTCAGAGAAAGTGGCTTGCGAATGGTCTCGGAAACATCGGACGATTGCTCCACATTTGAAAGCAGCTCTATCAGTAGAAAAGCGTGATACCGGCAATTCTCTAGCACCGACCAATGGAAAAAAATCCTACCGAGTCCCTAAGTTTTCCAACATAACCTTTACAACGCCAGAATTGGACGCAGGAAAAAAAATTCCAGAGATGCCTCACAGTATTTCTCCCTGCGTTTCCTATTTTCTACTAACTGAAAAACATTACCAAGCACTATCACAGGTTTGCATAACCTCCTTCTCTGCGCGCTAACGCGTGACTTTGAAGGGTGGGGTGCCTCCTGTCCCAAAACGCCCGTTCCGCGCGTTCGTCGAAACTAGGTCACCCCGCCCGCCCACTTCGCGCGCAGCGCACCCAACCGAGGTCTCATTACAGTGCCACCAATTCTCAGTGGAGTGAATGATTTGCATTAGTCCGTGTTATCTTCTCTTTAGGCTGAATTCCGTGGACCGAACGCCAATCAAATGCCCCACTTACAACTGCGACATCTGTCAAAAATCGCGGGCTGACACGCCGCGTGCGGCGGCTTCGACTTGACCTAGTTTTGATGAACGCGCCGAAGGAAGCGCAGCTCCTAATACCCATCCCTTCCCCTTTCATCCCAACTACATTTTCGCCATGGCTTAGCTGAACTTTCCGTTGAAAAAGATTATGAAGACATTCAATAGTGAAAGCGCTTCATGCCGAATTTTTGAGATAAAAGACTCCATTTCGTTTCCACGACTGTGATTGGCCAGAACCACAAACCAATGAGGAAGCGTCTGCATTTCCCATCTTATTCCTCAGACCTGTTGCCAGCTGATTAAATCGTCTCGTCAATTTTGATGTAACAGAAAGAATTTCGATAACATCGGTATTACCCGAGTGTTTCAGCCTTTGAATGGCGACAAGGAAAAGGAATGACTAAAGTATAAACAAACTTACAATTAGCAGTTCTCCCTACTTCAGTTAACAACAGGAATAGGAATTATGCCTCGAAATAACAAAAATGCCCTTTTTTATGGTCCGCGTGGCTCGCATCAGCTCCGCACTGTCTACGTGTCTTGGCCCTCTCTTTTAGAGACTTCCTCTCCTACCATCCAATGCCGTCGCCTATACGACGCATGATTCATGAAGGCACTGTGGCTATGGGGCTTCGTTGGCTACAGCCACACTCCAGGGAGAGGCAGGGTGTGGGTGGAGTCCAACTGTACATAGTACGTTCCTTCAGACTTCCAACAGCATCTGCAACGTTGCAACTTTTTCTGGGTTTTCAGCCCAGCAGCTGCTGAAGACCTCCCTGCCAATTTTTGGATAAGACTCGGAAGAGTCGAAAAAGCAAACACGGAGTGTTGGGGACAGGGCGTTCTTTCGCGCCTGAATCGTCGCCGTCGCTGGCACGCGGGCGAAACTTATCGTATTCACCAACGGGGGTTCTTATTCTATCCCCTACTGCACGGTGTGGTGGATCCGGCGAGCATAGAATAGTTGGAGTGGGAGGGAAGGATTTGACTGTGGGGATGTCATCTGGCCGAAAGAGAGGGAGCTAGCAGACAGCAAAAATGTGTGAATACACGGGAAATTACAGCCAAACACAGTTTCTCACCCTTCCCCCTCCCCCCTTTCAACTGTTTGGCTGTAATTTTACCCAAATATGCTCAATGATCAGCCATTTCTCTTTTCGGAATTAATCATTCAATTCTGATGAGTAAAATCGTTAACGAGCATACCCCAAAATAAGATAGGGACTACGAATTCAAACCGTATTTATAAGAAAAGGAACAGACCAGTGCGACTGATTTATCCTATGGTGACGCTAACGCTTGCAATTGGGAAAACTGATTAGAGGAAGTTTAACTGTTGGAATAGGAAATGTTAGGGATCCAAGGGTTCTCCATTATGGCAACGTGGCGACAGTTATAAAAATTAATGCCCCTGAATCAGGTGAACTGGTCATCCCAAAAAAGGAGTCCCTCCTTTCAAGAGTATCATATGCGAAAGTTGCCCTGAACCCTATCAAAGGACACATTGGTGGGAATGTCACTACTACAGCACAAGAATGTGAGATTTTCGAATCAAATTCAATTGAAACCCTAAAGGCTTCTCGAATAATATCGTATCAACTTGACCTTCGTAAGATTTTGTGAGACATACACTTTTTTGCCAAACACTACCGGTTCACCTACCTCAGGAGGATTCACTTGTAAAGGCGGACTTGGCTTCTTTGCGCTTCTAGGTGATCGTGCCTATTACAGTGTATATACAGTGTGTTTCAAAAGTATGTGCACACCCAACACTTTGTTTTTTGGGGATACCATTGCTTTCTGTGTCCTGTGACCTTTACCATTGGATTCCTTGTGTGCTATAACCTTCGAACACCTTCTCTGAGAATACATCGTAGCTGCTAACATAATCTTTTATTGAAGAAAAATTTTCCTTTGTTTCAAAAGTATGTGCACACTTAGCAAAAAACAAAAATATAACCGAGATCAGAAATCAACAGGGCCCCCTAAATTTCTGTAAAGGTTATCGACTACGAGGAATCGTTCGAGAATGGTTCCGTTACGGCAGGCTCTTTAGTTACCTTTTGAATGAAAAATTTTGAGTGTGCACATAGTTTTGAAGCGGCAACTGGACCGCTCTGTTTTATGCAAGGCTAGATTCATTCGAGACCCTGGCAGCTATCGCTCACAACCTATTCCTGGCCGTCCACGTATTTTGACTGCTCAGGACAACAAGAGAATAGCCCGTCTTGTGGCGATTAATTCCTTGTCTGTGAGGCAGATCCGAGCTCAGATGGGTTTATCAGTCTCTCGTACGACCGTTTGGCGCTCTATCCGCTCTGATGAGTATATCACACGAGAGAGGATGAAAAAGGCTTCTCGTCTCAGTACTCGCCACAAGCTGACAAG